ATTATATTAATATTTAATTAAATTAATTATTATATTATTATTAATATAATAAATATAATTATATAAATATAATATAATGTAATAATATTATTGTAATATTATTAATATAATAAATATAATTATATGATCAATACAATATAATATATAATATATTATAAAATAATAATTACAATATCATATCATAATTATAATATCATATTATTAAAATAATTATAATATTATTACAATATCATATTATTAATATAATTATGATATTATTTGTTACAATATTGCTATTATATTATATTATATTATATTATATTTCGAGTTTAAATTTTAGATTGAGAAGATTGTAACTTTTAAATTTTATTAGGGGTATTATGAGTATTATAAAAGTTTTATTAATTGTACTATGTTGATTCCCGCACAATCTAAAAGTAAAAGTTGTTTTTAGGCTGCTTCTCATTTTGGGTGTAAATTCTTAAAAAGTTTTTCAAAAAGTACTTTTAAAAAGATTTATCAAACACTAAAATTAATTTCTGTTACAAACAAAAATTGATTTTAAAAAGAAAAAGTAATACCAAACTAAGCTTTCGTATAGCCAAGGACTGTACTTTGTTCACAACAGCCTGGTCACGTATATTGTATAAGTCGAGTTAGAGACAGAGAGAGAAGTTGGTTTTTGTGTGTGTGTGTGTGTGTTTGAGGAGGTGGGTGGAGGTTAGATTTTTGAGTTTTTGGTTTAATGGGTTTGTTCAATCTGAATCGATCTATGAGTTTTGAGGATTGGGATTAGGGTTTTCATGAAAAGTAATAACGTCCCCTCCTTCACCGTCTCCGTCGCCTTGCTTGTCCCCTCCTTCATCTTCTCCTTCACACTCTCCGCCGTCTTCGCGGCCTCATATGTCCCCTCCTTCGCTTTCTTCTTCATCGTCTCTGCCGCGTCTTTGACCTTCTCCTTCGCTCGCACTTTCGCGCTCTCCGCCGTCTCTGCCGCCCTGTAAGTTCCCTCCTTAGCCTTCTCCTTCGCTGCTTCCGCGTAGTCTTTCGCTCGCTCTTTCGTGCTCTCCGCTGTCTCCGCCGCTCTGTACGCTTCTTCCTTGGCCTTCTCCTTCGTCTCCTCCGTGTACTCTTTGGCTCTGTCTTTCATCTCTTTCACCTTTTCTTTACTCCTCTCCGCTCCTTCTTTCATGGATTCTTTGGCCCTGTTTGTCATCTCGTCAGGGTCTCTCCAGTCCCTCGAATCTCTCGACTCTTCCGAAGCATTTCGTCCCTGAAAATGAAATATTATATATATATATAGCTCTGTCTTTCATCTCTTTCACCTTTTCTTTACTCCTCTCCGCTCCTTCTTTCATGGATTCTTTGGCCCTGTTTGTCATCTCGTCAGGGTCTCTCCAGTCCCTCGAATCTCTCGACTCTTCCGAAGCATTTCGTCCCTGAAAATGAAATATTATATATATATATATATATATATTCAAGTGTGTTCGAAAAAACAAAGAAAAAAGTTGATACATAAATACATAATTACATACATCAGAGTGCTTGGAGGCCGAGGTGAAGCAGACCCTGGAGACTCTTCTTGATGGTCTGAGAGAAAGGGTTGGAGGGAAAGCCTTTGAGAGGCCGAAGACGGCATTTATCGCGAGAAACTTGGCTGCCATTGTCGATGGATATGTGTTTTTGTTTTAGCAATTTGTCACCGTTTTGATCTTTTTTTTTTTTGCCTTTTCCTTTGCTCTGAAATCTGCATCTTATAACGTGATTGAGGTGAGGAAGGTGGCAACGTAAATAGATGACACGTGAAGAGACGATGACAAGTGTTGGGAAGATTGTTTCCCTCATTGGCGAACCTCGTAGCGAGTCAACACGTGTTCTTGATCTCCAATTTGTTTCCCTCATTGGCGGACCTCGTAGCTAGTTAACACATGTCCTTGATTTCCAATTTTCAACTCTAGGGTCCCACGAATATTACCGATATGAGTATGACACTTGAATGAAAGTAGAGACTGGACTTGTTTTTTTGAGTGAAAAACTCAAAAAAAAAATAATTTGAGTTATAATTTTATTTGAGTTTATGTTTTTTTAAGTTTAAATTTAAGTTTAAATTCGAGTTTAAACTCGAGTTTAGGACTAAAACTCGAGTTCAAGTTTTCCCTTCAATTCGAGTTCAGAAACTCGAACTCAAATTAATGAACAATATTTTTTCTATTCTTAAAAATGCTATAACTTTTTCGTTTTAATTCTGATTGAGATTATTATTTTTTTCTATGCGTTGATAACGAAAAGACGAATAAAACCTGACCCATATACCCTATTAAAATTTTTCATCAGCATTGAGTTTTTATTAAAATACTATCTAAATACAAATTCAAGTTTTGACTTACTCAAACACAAACTCAAAAAGATTCTTATCTCAAACCATAACTCAAATGTACATAACTAAACACAAACTCAAGTTACAAGTTCAACTCAAATTATAACATTTTTCTCCAAAAACTAGTAATTATTAAATAATAATTATTTAATCCAACAATAATTTCATATTATTTTTTATTAAAATTTGGAAGAAAAAAATCTTCTCATCTCGTGATGTTGTTTCATCATTTATATAATTTTAGTAGCTCGTTTGTAATTAAATCGATGGAAATATTAATATTATACTCTTTTAGAGTACATTAAATAAGGGAATTTAATTATCAATAATAAGGTGGCAGAGCGATTAGAATTTGTTTCCTCCTGCTACTATAAGCCTATAACATCAGTGGTCTTTTAAATAAAAAATAAAGCAAAAATGAAATTTAAGAATGGCCGATAGGAGTACGTACGTACGACTTGTTTGTACAGTAAAATGTTTTCTTTTGGGAGAATTCTTTGACAAGGTACGTGTTTAGAAAACACTTCTGACTCGTTCACTTTGTGGATTTAAGTTTTCAATTCGAGTTGAGATGTGATATTTTTTTAGAGCTTTTCACTGTAACAGAAAAAGTTAGATGTGATATTTTTTGAGAGCTTTTTACTGTAAAAAATCTAAAACTGAAAACTCGAATCAGTGAAATGAACGAGACCGTACGATAGAGATTTTAGCAATTAAGTCATCTTTTATTTAATTTAATATTATTATAGTTTAATTTAGTTAATAAATAATACATTTAACATGTCTCGATAGTTAAACATCATGAGAAAATATAGACATGTAACATAATCTTGCTAGTCATTTTGAATAAGTAAATATGACAAGTTTAAAAAACTAAATTTATATTGATAATTACTATGTAGTATGTGGTATAACAAATTTTATAAGTTCTTCTTGAACTTTGTTAATTGTGTTAACATGTCCGCTGAATTTTAAAATATCCATGTTGTGCTATTAAATTTTGTCACTTCTGTCAATATGTCTTTTAAAATTAACTTCGTTAAAATTTTTAATAAAAATACTTATACATACTTTTTGAATTTTATCACTTATGTCAATATGTTCCTAAATTTTAAAATGTATATGTTTTACTTTTAAATTGTGATATATCTTTAATTTTTTTTTTCTTTTAATTTTGATTATATCAATTTTTTAAACTAAAATATTGATATGCCTATTAAATTGTTAATTTCAGAATGGCCGGAATTCTCCTAGTAGTGCAGTCATAACTAGATTTCCTCTCTTCTACCGTCGACGCTTATTCTCGTTGTCTGCGAACCTGATCCTTGCAATTCTCAGTTCCTTCTGCGCGCGGCCACCGCCTCAACCCCAACTGGATCATCAAACGCGTCATCTGCGATTGATCTCTGAACCAATTTCAGTGGTGACGAAAGATGAGAAAGGGCAAGGGCGCTTTTCGGTAGTATGGGGTCCGGTGAACTTTGATCGCCGGTGCAATTGTAGAGAGAGAAGGAAAAGAGTGATCAGGAAGGGAGATAGAGTGGGCTTCCAATTACCCACTTGGAGGTTTTTGAGAAGAGTCACTACCCAAAATGATTTGACGATAAGTGGGTCTAATTCACAACAGAGATAGTCAGTACGTGAAGCCGCTCAACCCGACTCCAATTTGTACATTTCCGTCAAATATGATTTTATTTTTTTATTATCCTTTCAAATGTTTAATTTTGCATATTTTATATGATGATACAGCCATTACTAATGTAAAAGGAATGGATATACGATGACTACTTTAACCGATAGACGATGACACATCAAAATCATGTGTTCAAAATTTAATTAAATTTGGTAACAAAATTAAAAAAAAAAAACAGAAACAATTGCACCGAAAACGTTTTCAAATGTTGTTTTTTTGTTCAGAAAAACAAAGAAATTGCTTACAAAACACCTTCAAGTCCAATACATACACGCAAAGAAATTTAGGCTCCGTTCATTTTACCAATTCGAGTTTTATTACAGTAAAAAGCTCTCAGAAAGTCACATCTAACTTTTTTACTACAGTAAAAAAACTCTCACATAAAATCACATCTCAACTCAAATTAAAAACTCGAATCAACGAACTAAAGTAGCTTTTTCTTACCTACATTTTATGATACGTCATTACTATTTAGTTGAGTGAAGGCTTATTTGTTACCTTCCGTATTTGGAAAAAGCAAATTTGGCATAAAAAATCATTGCCTGATCCAAAAGTAACAAAAAAAGAAAACCCTTGGCAATTGGTTGCAATCAATTACCATTAATTAATGAGAATCATACACAGTTTATTTACCATAATTAATAAAATACCTTCTTTGGACTGGTCCTATTGTTTCAGTTACGCAAAAAAATAAAACGCCAAAGTGAAAAAGAAAGGTCGTCTGCCTCGGAATAACAAGCTTTAACCAAAGTTTCACTGCCAGTGCTGCCATAGTCAAGGAAACAGTCACGGTGACCAATTTTCAGGTAACAATCACAGAACTTCCCCCTTTCTTGTTGTCACCAGAACTATTCAAAGATTCTACGTTTTTCCCCTCTCCGAGGAATTGTATCAAACAACTATTAACAAGTTTATTTTCTAATTCTTAGCGAAACAAAGTTTATTTTCTAGTTCTCTATTAGAAAAAAAAAAAGAAAAATCATTTTGTAATCGAGTAGAATTGGATGGTCAGGTCTTTTTGATTTTATTGGTGGAAACTTCAAATTTTCTTCTATAGATCAATAGAGATGGGAAGATATTTCACCTATAGTCCTCTTTTTTTTTTTTTTCTCCAAGAAAGAAACGAGTTTCATTTTCTTGTCATTTGAAATTTGTAGAATCCAACGTAGAATATTGTTGTACTCCCTTAATATCTTGTGAGAAGTTAACCACCTTAACGTTTTATATTATTATTATTATTATTTTATTATTATTACATCACAATGGGATGAAGGATTCAAATTGCATATCTCAAGATCAGAAACAAAATGTCGTAATTACTGTAGATTTTAGCTAAATGGTATTTTTTTCTAATACCTAGCGCAAGATTTAAATGTGTACATCAAAACTAGCAAGAAGTGATCCTCCTTCACACTAGAAACTCAGTTACTGGCAAAAAGCTTCTAGGCTCTAGATGTTAGAATATAAAAATTATTGTTGGTCCACTTATTAATAACTTAAGTTTTTAAGATTGATTGATAAATTAATACTTGGTAATTGCCGCTGCAAGCAGTATTTTTTTTCTTAGAAAAAAAAAAGGTTATCGTTAGTGTTATCACGTTCCCAATTCCTTTCATCACTTTAAAAATTCAAGATCCCACCAATAGAACGGTAAAGATATAATTCAATTCTATTCAAAAGATTTAGACCTTATATATATATATATATATATTCAAGTGTGTTCGAAAAAACAAAGAAAAAAGTTGATATATAGTATTAATACATAATTACATACCTCAATTGTCGGTTAGGGTTTCCATTTCCGGATCTAGCATTTCTTGGTTTATGTGGAAGCTGAGGAAGAAGAAGACCCTTAAGGCATTTTTGTCTTTTAAATGAAAAAAGAAGACACATGATGCTCATACGCTAAAATCTGTTAAAATTTTGACAGAAATAATTAAAGTGCACCCGTTTAAAGAGGTTAGGGGTTGTTTTGTAAAAAAAAAAAAGTTAAAGGCCAAACTGTCACTTACTAAAGAGATTGGAGACTATTTGTGTAAATTACCCTTATGTTTTTATTAGACGGATGTATGACATAAGTATAATAACATAGTGCACCATATTCACAGAATAGTTTGTCCTCGTAGCCTCCAGAACTTTGTCTTTGTAGAATATGGTCTCGTTCAGTTTGCAGATTTAAGTTGAGATGTGATTTTATATTAAAGCTTTTCACAGTAGCATAAAAAATTAGATATGACTTTTTATGAGAGCTTTTAACTATAACAAAATTAGAATTGAAAACTCGAATTGGTGAAATGACGAGGCCTTTAATTTTTCAAATACATTAAAGAAAAATCTCGTTCATTTCACTGATTCGAGTTTAGAATTCGAGTTTTGCTACAGTAAAAAAACTCTCAGAAACATTCACATCTAACTTATTTATTATAGTAAAAAGCTCTTATATAAAGTCACATATCAACTCATATTAAAAACTTAAATCAGCGAACTAAACACCATATTATTCAGCTTCGTAAAAGTAGCTTCGCATCAGTTCCGTATAAAGACAAAGCACAATGGGCCCTATGTTTTGGTCCAATCGGAGCCTAACGTATTTGATTAGAGAATGATTTGTGATCCATGTTTCGGTCAAAACTTTTAGGGCTTGTTCTTTTGAGTGAAAAACTCAAAAAAATACAATTCGAGTTACAACTTTATTCGAGTTCATGTTCTTTTAAGTTTAAACTCGAGTTTATGACTAAAACTCGAGTTCAAGTTTCCCCTTCAACTCGAGTTCAGAAACTCGAACTCAAATTAATGAATAGTATTTTTTCTATTCTTAAAAATGCTATAACTTTTTCGTTTTAATTCTGATTGAGATGATTTTTTTCTATGCGTTGACAACGAAAAGACGAATAAAACCCGACCCATATACTATATTAAAATTTTTCATCAGCATTGAGTTTTTATTAAAATACTATCTAAATACAAATTCAAGTTTTGACTCACTCAAACTCAAAAAGATTCTTATCTCAAACCATAACTCAAATGTAGACAACCAAACACAAACTCAAGTTACAAGTTCAACTCAAGTTATAACTCAAATTCAACTCAAGAATTATACTCAAGTTAAACTCCAAAAGAACAAGCCCTTAAATTCCTAAATCTGTTACTCATTTTTCGCTTACCAAACACAACATAAAAAACTACTCTATTTTCTCTTGATTCTCTTTAATTAATTTTTATTTTCTCTCATATGATATTTCATATATATATCCTAATTTATATGATTAATCTTTTGAAATTAATTACCTTAAACATGTGATTAATCATCAAGGTCATCTCTTATTCTCCCAGCGTAGATTAAAGCCCTTGTCAAAACATTGAATAAGGAGTGGCCATCACTATCGAAGATGACAAACGAGGAATTTTGGAAACATGAGTGGGAAAAACATGGAAATTGCTCAGTATCTGTACTTCCCCAAAAAAAGTATTTCAATGCAAATCTTCTCCTAAAAGACAAAACGAAAATCTTGGAGACTCTTAAATATGCCGGTAGGTAACAACGATAAACTCTCTTTGCATACATATATATATATAATTGATATTTCTTTTTTTTTTCTCCCTTGAGAATCTTTCTAATTAGATTATATATTTATTATAAAATATCTTTATATATCTTAGAAACTTGAATTTTAATCCAGGGATAACTCCAGATGATAAAAAGCACTCCTTACGGTTGATTCAAAAGACTCTAAGGGATGAAGTTAAGTTCACACCACTAATCAAGTGCAACACGAATGGCCCAGACCCCACCCCTGAACTTTACGAGATTTACTTTTGCGTGGACCCTAAAGGAGAAAAATTCATTGATTGTCCTCCTGATGCTGTCAAGAACTTCAAGACTGGATGCGGAGACGGTAAACCTGATATTAAGTTCCCTATCTATAAGAGACATGATCACGTACTCAATGATATTGATGAGTGAGTCCCACTTTGGAAGAAACGATATATTATAATATTAAAAACATTTTAATGCATATATATGAGGTGTTACATTATAATAAAGGATAAACGACAACGTGCTGGCCCGAGAGAGGAGAAAAGTACTAGTATGAAAATCAGTCAATTTCAGTTCAAGCACTCGTAGGTGCTATAACTTAATTATGTAATAAAGGTAGTGCACTTTTATGTATTAAACATGCTTGTTCTGTTGAGTAAACTGTCCAACAACGTGACTCATAAGTTGTTTCGTGTCGTTTTTTGTTATAGTCGTTTTGGGTTGATGTAGTTTTTCCCGTTCATGCAGTTTTGGTGGTTATTATCGTTTTTTAATTTTGTATCGTTTATTCGTTTTTTATTTTTTAGATTTTTGTGGCTTACATGTTAATGTTATCTCGTATTTTTATATTGCTTTCTTGTTTTTTTTTTTTTCGTGCATGTCTTATCTTATTCTCATGTCGCTTTCTTATTATTTTTCACGTGGATGTGAATCTCTTGATGTTGTTATGTATTTTGACGTATTCTCGTCGTTACGCTGTTGTTATTGTTCACTTAATGTCGTTTATGATATTGTCGTTTCTAGGTAGTTGTCGTTTTGAGATAATGTGGTATTCAATGTCACCTGAATCGGTTATTGTTTTCCCGGTTGATCGGTTTTGTTGCACTGGGTAAACATCTTAAAAAGGCTTTATAAATAAAATATTTCTTTTCATATTACTATTGACTATTTAGATTTTTATATGTGTTAATTTATTTAAAAATGCAAATGCAAATATTAAAAGAAATAACAAAATAATTAGCAAAACACATGTCAAGACTGGCTGGCTGGCCAATTCAAACACATGATGGGTCAAGATGAGCCAACTCATTTTGACGCATAGATAGACTCATATGGGATAACGACACATAATACTAGCACGACTCAGTTTGGCCCACAAAATATTAGTTCATGGGACAAAATGAGCTGATAATTAGTCTTTCATGAGCCGGTCCGGTGTGACTCATTAAAGGGAGAAAGAGTAAAATAGGCCAAGACTTGAGATGAATTAAAATTAATAGGCCAATAGTTTACATAAGTTAATAAATAGGTCAAATTATTATTTTCGTCCATAACTTGTCTGGTTATGAACCATAACTTGACAAGTTATTCACAGTTTTTGTCCATAACTTGTCTGGCTATGAACCATAACTTGACAAGTTTGTCCATAACTTATCTAGTTATGAACCATAACTTAACAAGTTATGACCTATTAATTTTTATAACTAAAAATTAGCCTATATATTTTCTTAAGCTTTTAATATTGACTTATTTTTTACTATTTCCCCTCATTAAATTAGTGAGTTGAGCCGACCTAACCCACAACCCATATGGGCTTAAGGAGAATGGGCCAGGCTCGGCCATTCTTGCATCTCTTATCACTTGTAGTTTTCTTACCTACGTAACTATGTTAATATAAATGTTATAACCATAGACTGACTTTATTTGTGCAAATTTTTTAAGACATATTGCATGATTTTTCATTACACTATGATAAAATGAACGCTTCCCAAAGCAGTACATTAGTTCTTTGGAATAAACCACAGTTTCCTACTAAGACGCGGCCTATATCAATCCTTTCTAACAAAAAAGAACACGGCAACTCCACTACAAGAAAAAGTTGTTTTAGTGACATTTTTTTTAGTCACATTTGAATGGAAAATGTCACTATACGTATATTTAGTAACATTTCTTAAAAATATCACTCAAAGTAAGCAAAAATGTCACTAAAAAATAGTTTCAATGACAAGTGAAAATGTCATTAAAACTTAGCTTTAGTTACATTTTAAAATGTTACTATATGAGCTTTAGTGAGAGTTTTAAAATGTTATTGGCATTCCGCTTTAGTGCCATTTCTAGTTGTAACTAAAAATAAACTTTAGGACACTTTGAAAATGTCTTAAAAAAAATTTATCTCTAGTGGCATTTTACAAATGTCACCTAACTACACAAGGATAATTTCTCTTGAATAAAATATATTTGAACAAAATATTACGTCTTTCTCGTTTTTTCTATCTACATATCAATATTAATTGCAAATAATTTTTAATCATTCTAAATTAAAAGCTAGCTAACTATTTATGAAAACAGTTATCCCAAACTAATAAATTAACTAATTCAATGGAAGGAAGCCTATGCCAGGCAAACACAATCTCTAATTTTTTTTTTTTTTTTGAGTAAATCTCTAATTAATTATTTAATGCTGAAAAGCGTGCTGCAAGTTGGAGAAGAAATCTCACGACTTACGCGCTAAATTTGTGCTCGCAAGGGCATGAGTTGCCTTAAGTAATAAAGTGTGTAAATAAGAGTGTCGATCTCATGAGAAATGTGTTTAATTTTTGTTAAGTATTAAAATTGATCGACTCTAAGATTATTTGAACGACTAGAATACGTAATGAATAAAAATAACAAAGCAAATAAAATTAAGTGATAAAACAAGTAATAAAAATACTAGAGCATCAATTCCACAATAATTAATCTGCGCTATTTTATTACTAAGTGAATTTCCTAATTTATTAGTCAAGAACCCTTAATTAACCCAACCTCTCCTAAGCATCAAATTGGATATTATGTTCAAAACTCAATTCCAATATCCCTATAAAAAAAACTAAGTAATTAACACTCATTAAGCTCTAATTCTCCTAATGACTACGAAGATAATTTAGGCCTCCCAAACTCTAAAAACCTAAGTTGTACAATCCAAATCGGATGTATAAATGACCTCTTTCAAGCGTCAAACTCATTCATTAAATCAACTAATTCATTTCCCAAAAAAATAGAAGCATTAAAAATGAGACAACACAAATAAACCATAAAAAACCACTTAAAATAAATTAACACGTCATAATTAGAAAAAATCCAAGCTCCAACAAATAACTATTACATAACCAAAACTAAACAAACTAAAATCAAGGGTTCACCATTTACAAATCACAAAAATAAAGAGATGAGAATAGGAATGAAAAACCCAGTTTAGAGTTGTCACAAGCTCCAAGATCCTCTTTCTTTGTAACGACACAAAAAAAAAATCAAAGGTCCATTTTAAAGTTCTCGAGACTTAGAAGGTGAATTTTCCCGTACTCACACGTTTGTAATACAATTCCTGTAAGTCATGAAATTTTTGCGACCTTGATATATGTAACGTCAAGAAAATTCAATAGTAGGATTCTTGAAAATTATCCGGATTTAGACTATGAATTTTCTTAGTAACTTAGTTAATCATGAAATTGGAATCTATGAAATGATAATTATGCCACTTTATTTTGTGTCAATTCAATTAAATTGTCCTGTGTACAATTCAATATTCATAAATTATGATCTTATGGGATGAAATTCAGGAAATAAAAATATTTCGTGAATTTCAGAATGGAAGTAAAGTTACAAGATTAATAAACAAAATTACAATTTCCGTTAAGATGTATTTCAATATGAGAGTTTAACAAATTTTCGTAATTAAATTTCAAAAGAAATTCAAGAGCAACAATAATAGATAATTCTCTGTAGCATCAGTGTTAGAAATAGTACATTTGATCTTGCCAAGCACATGGCATACAGTCAGTAAAATTAAAGATCTACTATCAGTATAAAAATTACACTGCAATTACCTTTGAGTTGATAGAATAATAGATGATTTGATCAAAAGATGATTTAGATAGGATTAGGATAAGATAAATCCAACTGCTAAGTTTTAAAGTAAGTATTGATCTTAAGGCTAAGATTGAAGTTTGATATATATATATATATATATATATATGTGTGTGTGTGTGTGTGTGTGTGTGTGTGTGTGTAGATAGACAGATTTGAAGGATAGGAAAAGAATGGAGAAATTTCATTAGTTTAAGTATATTATGATCACTATGAGGTCAAAAAGGTTTTGCATGAAAAGAGTATACCATGCATAAATCAAAGGGTTAGGAATTATATAAAGACAAAAGAATTCATGAACAATCTCCACTTTCACCATTTTAGTACCTCCTATCAAGATTAAAAAAAAGAAAGAGAGAAACTATGTGAATCTAAAGTCCAATACTTCACATAAGGGAACTATACAAATATCAAATCACTAAAGTTACCCTACAAGTGTTGGAGAAATCAGCTAGTGTGAACTAGTGCTGGAACTTTGGACGGGCCGCCCGCGACCGCCCGAAAAATCCGAGGATTTGCCCGAGCCCGAACCCGACCCGCCCGAGATTTTGGGGCCGCCCGCCCGAGCCCAAATTTCACCTTGAACGGGCCGCGGGCTTGTATTCGGCGGCCCGAGCCCGGCCGGGCGGCCCCAGGCCG